AGATTAGTAGATAAAGGATATACCCAAAAATCTGGTATTGATTATTTTGATGTCTATTCTCTAGTAGCTAGGATTACTACCATTAGAGTCCTTATAGCTTTAGCATCCATTCACAAAATTATAATACATCAATGGATGTTAAAACTGCATTCTTAAATGGAGACTTAGATGAAGAAATTTATATGGATCAAGCCGAGGGATTTGTTGCTTCTGGACAAGAGAAGAAAGTATGTAAACTTATTAGATCACTATATGGTCTCAAACAAGCTCCAAAATAATGGCACATAAAATTTGATAAGATCATACTATCCTATGGATTTGTAATTAATCAAGCAGATGAGTGTATATATCATAAAATAGATAATAACAACAAATTTGTGATTTTATGCTTATATGTTGATGATATTCTTATTTTTGGCTCTGACATACAAAGCATAAATGAAATCAAACATTTTTTTATCACAAAATTTTAACATGAAAGATTTAGGTCAAGGTGATTTAATTCTTAACACTAAAATCTTAAAAAATGAGAATGGATATGTGTTGTCACAATCACACTACATGTGATTTAATTCTTAACACTAAAATCTTAAAAAATGAGAATGGATATGTGTTGTCACAATCACACTACATAGAGAAAATACTCAAGAACTTTTATGATAATGGATATGTGTTGTCACAATCACACTACATAGAGAAAATACTCAAGAACTTTTATGATCTAAATTGTCGACTTGTTTCTACTCCATATGATCCTAATGTACATCTAAAGAAAAACACTGGTTATCCTAGAATCATCGAAGGGGATGGGATTGAGCCCATAAGAAAAATCACTGCAGTGACAACCCAACCTCGTAGAGGTTCAATGGGTAGAAACAAACTGGACGAGTAATTAATTGTGAGGAGCACTGAATTTATTTGCTCTCATCCCTAGGATGATCAGTGCTCATAAAAAAAGTAAGTGAAAGGTTAAGTTAAACTCTTAATGAATCCAAGACCCATGAGGCAGGATGCTTACTTGCTCGCATCCTTATCAGGATTCACCTATATGTGTGTAGTTGTGAGGCCGCGACTATGGGATCAGGGCTGCTCCCTAGTAACACACATGAAAGATACTTGTGCAAGGTCGATAATAGCACAACTCGCTTAGAATTCTTCAAAACTGTACTATGTGTGCTTTCTGTAGAAATTCGATAAATGGGACTGGTTCAAGGCGTAGTCCACAAAGCTCTCACAGATCTATACAACTGTCACTAAGTGAAGGTTCAAACCGAAAGGTACCTCCACCTATTACATAGTATAAGGGAACCAACAATCTTAATTTTCAAAGTTCTTCTTTTACTCTTAATTTTGAATTATTTTAAGTTTTAAGTTATGTGGGGGATTGTTGGAGTTATAATAAGTGTAACTTAAAACTTGACATTGTAGTGTGAAAGTTTAGTCTCACATAGGAAATGGAATAGGAAGGAAGAGTGTTTATAAGCATTTTCCTTCTCTCTTATGCCTAGAAGAAAATAAAATGTTATGCTCCACACCACACACGCGCGCCAACTAGACCGGGCTCGGGTTCGAGTCGGGTCGGGTGGCGCGCGCACACGACCTGTGGACACGAATACAGCTCCGGATTGAGGGGCTCTTAACCTGCTACATTTTGAATTTTTATTTTTTGCTAATAGGAACAATTAAAACGTGTTAAGCAATTAAAACAAGCTAAGCAATTAAAACGTGTTAATCATTTGGCTGCGAAAATGAAAATGGCTAGCTAAATAAATGGGCGGGATTTGTGGATAACGGCTGTTTTTTTTCCTCTATAAAAACCAACACACCTGCGAGGGCTATAGACACTGAATCAAAAAAACGAGTTTCGCTTCTTTTCTTCTCTTCAAAACAAAGTTTTCTTGCTGTTATACGCTGGTTCCCTGAAAGTCGTGAAGAGTTCGCAAAGCCTTCTTGAAGCTCGTGCCGACGAGAAGAAGGTCGCCTGACCGAGGGTCGTCGTATCTCCAAGATTCATTACCATGTAGCCCTGTACGAGAGGGGGCAATTAGATTTTTGGGACAGTGCTTTCTGCACGTTTCGATCATCAGACCGTATTTCTAACCTTTACTTATTCTCGTTTGAATTATTTATTATATCCGTGTTATAATAATAACCCATCATTATCTAATAATTATTAACTGTTCAAACTAATTTTCATTTTTGTCTAAACAGCTAATATTTCTAACAGATCATGAGAGCTGTTTAGAATATTTTTGTCTCTGAAATATCATCTTCAGAGATTCCAAATTGTCCTGCAAAAAACTATGATATTTTAAAAAAAATTTAGTTGTTTTTCACATTTATCTTAAAAAAGTATTTCCACGAAGGAGATCAACTTCTATATTCCTCCCTCAAAATTATTTGCTAACATGAATCCTATGGCTGCTCTCAATCCTTCATCACCTAATACTTGATGATCAGTCTTTTTTTCAATTATTATTAAGGATTCCAGCTACTAGTAACTAATATAGTAGAATTGCCCGTTGCTGAGCTTGCTGAAAAGTCATTTCATGCTAACTAACAAACAATAATATTGTTGGCCATTTATTCAAGTATGACAAATGCTAAAATGAGAATCCTATTGAACTGCTCACAGTTGTTTTATTAATTTCTATATAAATCTACACACGCTATGATGTCACGTATAACTCCTTCAAGAGCTTAGATCACAAGCTTTTATCATCAAAAATGAGAGGGAAGTAACTAATGGAATACGGCCAATTGATTAGTCTAAGAATTACTTAAAACTGATAATCAAGTCAGCTGGAGAGCAATTTTATCGTTTCCATGGTAAAGTTTACTATAAAGTTTATTAACAAATTTATACGAAAATGACATAAAACAATGAGATCAACACCGCACAAAAACGAATTACTTATTAAAGCTGGCATCAATTATGGAAAGATGGAAATGAGGGAAAAAATGTAAAGAATGGACAATGTATTATGTTCAAACTTAGCATTATGCGAGACTTGGCATACATGTGAAGGCCAAATGCACTAAGACTCCTATAGGTAATCCTCTATAGAAAACCGCATGGAGAACAAGCAAAAGTCAACTTGATGATTGTACTGATACAATATTCTAATTATACCTGTAAATGTTTGCGTTAACATATACTAATTGCATTATGAGTTTATTTATTTCCTATTAAAAAAATGACTAAATCATGTGCCAGCGTTTTTCTTTTTCTATATAATTTTTTATTTAGTTTTTGTGTAACTACCTAAGAAGATTCAAACTTGGATGTTGAAAGCTTTGGTTTCCAATTCTTCATTACCTTAACACTTTCATGGCTGCTTGGTTCAGTCTTTAATCGGAAAGAGTTTAAGGATTCCAGCTGTATAATAGTAGATTGGTTACTTCTTTCTGCGTATAAGACAAATGCTAAAAATGAGACCCTGACATGCTCACAGTTGTATTTATTTCTATTTCTCCACATGGCAAGAAATTATGTATATTACTCTTTCAATGTCTTCAAAGACAATACTTTCCGATTTTGTTGTTACATTATAAAATAGTAGTAAAAAAATACATTATAAAATCGTCAAGGCTGGAATTACGTAAAACTCATGATCAGGTTAGCTGGAGAGCACTTTTGTTGTTACATTATAAAATAGTAGTAAAAAAAAAAGCAAATGCTAGTATTCTTTGATTTATTGATTTGCTATGAATTGAGCGTTTAGGGTAGAATTGGTTTTCGTTTATATTAAGGGACTGTTTGTTTTGCCCAAAAACCAGTGAAAACAAAGAAATAAAATCTGACATGGGTGCCAGGTCAGATTTTGGTTTCCATCAATTTCAATTTCTTATGTTTGGTTCACCAACCAATTTTGAGAAATGAGGTTGTGAATTGGGGTCCACGTCAGCTTTTTTCGGAATTGTGTTTTCAGCTCGTTTTGGGCTGAAAACGCAAGGAAATGTCCCTTCACCGAATATTTAATCAATGAGCACGAGAAACGAAGCGGCGGAGTTATTGAAGAGGGTTTCCTCCTTTTCCCTCTTTCGTCGTTAGCCTCACCGCCATTGATGACTGCTCTTCTTCTTCCTCTCTGTTTCGCCATTTCTCAGTTCTTTTTTGTCGCAATTTAATTTCTAAAAAAACGTCGGCTCTGAAGATGGCCTGCGCTTAGAACTACTGAACGTAGTTTCGGTGTTGTTTGTTGGGTTGCTGCTCTAGATCTAGCAGAAGGGGAAGGTACCGCTTGTCCTTGTTCTGTGTAGGGCGATCTTGCAGAAGGTGAAGGTTCCTCTTGTGCTGAACCCTGATTATTGCCTGTTATTGGGGTGTCGCTCACTACAAACCTGTCGATGTTCGATCTCTTTTTCTCAGATTGTTTTCCTTTGTAGCAAAAGCAGTAGGAGAAATATTTGGTGCATGCATGTGAATTCTGATATTTACTTTGGCTGTGAAGATGAAAGTTTGTTTTTGAAGCTGATAGTTGGTTTTTATTAGTAGATCTTAACAACCAAGGTCCAAAAGCATGCTATTTATCGTTTTGTTGGTGCCACGAATTTTTTGGTTAAATCATATTAAATCTGTAATTTAGGCGTTAGTTTCTACGAGAGTAGATCCGCATTTTCTGTAATTTGGGGGTTTAATTTTGTAGTAGATCTTGTTGTTGCATCATCTTTTATCATATTTAATCATATTTAATCTGTAATTTAGCCATATTTAATCATATTTAATCTATAATTTACCCATATTTAATCATATTGTTGCATTTTCGTAAAATGTGGACTTCATAATGCAGGGCTAATTCTTGTCTGTTTCTGCTCTTATCCCCTAGTAACTAACATGAGCGCATAGATTAGGTTTGTTAAGCAAGCTAATATTAAAGCAGGGCTAGAATGGGTATTATGAAGTTAATAGCACTACTAGAAGCATATCTTGTAGCTGTTTATTTAGTATCCTTTTGGGTTTTTATGTATAATTCTAATTTCTAAGCAATACTGTATAGATGGATGGTGATTATATTGATGAAGAGAGCGTTATAAGAATGTGTGCTGGGGCTGCATTTTCTGTCATGGTTCTAGTAGTTACATTTTTTAGGAGAATGAGGTCTCGCCGCAGAATGCTACGATCTGGACGGAGTGCAGAAAGACTAAGGCATGAAAAAACTAGGGCAGAGTTGATGAGTCGTATCTATCACGGTTATAGTGATAGTTATCAAAACTTTGTTAGAATGCGGTCGGGTGCTTTTCTTAAACTAGCAAAGACTATGAGGACAAATCATCTCCTAAAGGACTCAAGATTTATAACTGTAGAGGAGCAGCTTGCTATAACATTGAATATTTTGGGTCATAAATCAAAAAATCGTATGATGAGAACGCAATTTATACGATCAGGGGAGACAGTTAGTAGATACTTCAACAGAGTATTGCAAGCAATTTCGTGCATACAAGGCCGATATATGAAACAAGCACCAAATGAGGTGCCTCAGGAGATCCAAAACAATCCATCTTTCTATCTTTTTTTCAAGGTATAACAACCACTCTACCTACTAGCGCAAATGAATCTCTTAACTACTCAATCATTACATTAACATAGCAACTTGAATTCTATAGGATTGCATATGTATGATAGATGGGACACATGTGGATGCTATGCTACCTGCCTCACTTGTTGCGCGTTTCAGAGGGCACAAATGTGTCACACAAAATATTCTTGTGGCTTGCACACCAAACAAAATGTTTACCTACATTCTAGCTGGGTGGGAGGAATCGGCTAACGATTATAGAATCCTTCAAGATGCTTTATCTAGACCACAACCTTATGGCTTACGGGTGTACACTGGTAACAATCTCAAAAACTCAAAAAGTAAATGCTCATTAGACTAGTAGTCCGCACTAATACTTACTAAGTCATATCTTATTAAAATACTTTGCATTATGTAGGTAAATACTACCTTTGTGATGCGGGGTACACAACCCAGCCGAGATTTATATCCCCGTATCGTGGCGTCCGTTATCATCTAAAGGAATTTTCGGGGAGAACACCTCAAAATAGGAGGGAGTTATTCAATCTTAGACATTCCTCTTTAAGGTCAAGGATTGAAGCTACATTTGGTATATTGAAGAATGGTTTCAAGATTCTCACAGCAAAACCCCACTACCCCTTCAAGACCCAAGTCGACATTGTCTTGGCATGCACGGTTCTCCATAACTACATTGCAATAGTGGACCCAGACGATGACTTGTTGAATGAGAATATCGACATTTGTGAGGATGATACTGAATTGGATATTAATGAAGATAAAAACGTTATTGATTTCTTGCAGTCCCAAACTGTTAGAGAACAAGGAGCCTCAAAGGATGAGTGGAGATCTCGCAGAGATCAAATCGCTTTGGACATGTGGATTGACTATTGTTGTAAATACCGACATGGTGACACGACTGAGTCTGCGGTGTGATTTTATATGATTCCTGTAGTTGCTCTTAGTTTATTATGGTTGTGGTTATTGTAACTTATTTCGCACTCTGTGTTTGTTGCTACATTAACATGTGTTGGTTATATCCAATTGTGTGACTTCTTTATTGGTTAGGGCATCAATCTACACCTTGTTATTGTGCAGGATATCCTGTATTCCTCTTTTATGTCATGTACTTTAATACTATTTTAGTTATCTTTTGTATTATGCTTTCATGTGTCTCACAACATTTATTGCTCTATTCCAAAGCAGTCAATTTAAAATACCATCTTCTTAATATTTTTTGGACTAACATATGAATTGTTGGACTATAGGATATGGCTGATAATGCAAACAATGATGTGCATGATTTGGCCAACGTGAGGACCACCACTCACTCCCGAACGGCTAGGAGCCAACCACCCTCTCCCGTGCTTCCATCAAGCAGTGGGTTCAATCACCCATTCAACCCAATATTCCAGCCATCCTCCCCCTACGTGCAATCACCCTTTGGTTTTCCCAATGCTCCGCATACCGATGGTAACTTTTTCCCTATGCCTCACCCCATTTCATCTTACATGCACATTCTCAGTAACGCCCCATCTTTGCCACAACCATTTCAAGGCTCCAATTCCTCCGGTTACTTTTAGTCTCCAACTAGTGTTACAGGGACTACTTCTGATTCAGGTAGCAAAAAACGGTTGGAAAGGGATGAAGTAGTAGCCACTTCAGCTAGTTCACCCAAAAAATTTAAGGTTGTGGCCCACAAGAAAAGACAAATACCACGTGGTGAAGCAGCTTCATCTGGGTCCCCAACCAGATGGTGGACCCCTGCTCACGATGACGTGCTCATACCTTTTTTGGCCAATTTGGCAAGGTTTGGCCTTAAACCAGACAAAAAAATTTAAGCAACATGCCTTTGCAATGATGGCTGCTAAAGTAAACAAGCAATTTGGTACATCATTTGCTACCAAGAGTGTTGTTAACCATATGAAAAAAATTCATTCTTGGTTTCAAGACATGCAGGCTACGCGTAATATCAGTGGCGCAGGTTGGGATGAGGCAACACAAACAATCATGCTGGATCCCGAGAGCTTTGATACATGGAATGAGGTAAATGAAGCGCGCATATCTTCAAAATGTTGATTCATTTGACCAAACAAATAAATACGCTTTTTTATACTGAATTGGATATTGATGACATGCAGGATAAAAATAAGAGTAGGCTTAAAGATTACATAAATAAGCCGCTGAAGCATTATGAGAACCTAGCTGTCATCTGTGGGGATGATCAAGCAAGAGGTAACTTTGCCAAGGCCTCGATGGAGAAATTTGGGGGCCACGATGCAATCAACCTTGGAGATGATGACGAAGATCAAAATGTTAGCATGTCTGTGCCTCAGAAGTCCCTTCCCACAATTAACTTTTTAGATGAAGATAATTAATCTCAAACCAACAATGATAACGCCTCCAGAAAGGACTACCATAAAAAAATACCATCGGTGAAAGGTCGCACGAGAAAGATAGATGTTGGTCGTGACGGATGGTGGATGAAGTTAAACACTTTTCCTCATCTCTCAATCTTGTTAATCAACACTGGACTGAGAAATTGTCTACAGCCATCTTTAGGTACAAAGAAACTTACCATATACAAGTCCTGGAGCTATTTTATGATACCACATTTGAAAATGAAACCAAAGTGAGGCATTTTATAGGTAAGAGTGACTTTGGCCAAAGGGCTTTGTTGGACAATTTCATGCAGATGCAAGGAGGGGGAAGTAAATGAGTGTGGGTGAAGGTAGGATTTTACACTATACTTGTGCTTTTATACTTGTGATGAACTTTTGATTCATCCTTGCTAATTGGTTATATATTTTGTAGGACCGGTGGGGAGCTAGCAATTACCATATAGATTTTGCGCGAGCAAAAAACATGAGGCTATTTTTTTGTTAAACTCCTAGATCTGGTATGTTTGTAATATATTTGAGAGCACGTTACTCATCCTCTACAGAGACCTTCAGTCAGCTCTTGAGCTGATTTGATATACTGCCACACTTTATGCTTTCCCCACGCCTATTGAAGCTGATTATTTCTGCACATATAGCTTCACCCATTGTGACTCATGGCTAGTTTTGGGTTTTAGGTTTTGGGAAACATCAAGCAACCACATTTGTGCAATGATGAGTGGGGTTGGTTTCTGATATTCTTACCCAGCATTTATTGCAGACAATCATTTGGCAAGGCAGCCCTATCCACACTTTATGATATTCTTATTCAACTATGAAAACACTAGTATTATCGGGCATGCAGCCAACATTGTCATGCAATCGTTTGCTGATGATGGATATGTGATGAAGTAGATTCCTATTTGAGCACAAAACCTGATTCAATCTTTTGGCCTCACTGCTGTTTATTTGTGATGTTTTAACACCCCTTATCAGCTCACTTGTTGTGCAATGTTTTGCATGCCTTATTATATATGATATCTGTCTCACTTGTTTTGACTCTTGCATGATCTAACCACTTGTTCATACCTCTATTATTTTTTGGTTACACACATCACTTTCATAATACAGCTTTCAAACCACATCTCAACTCACTCTATTGAAATTGTTGTGCACGCTAGACTACATGTGTTGTTGCCTTGTGCTGTTTTGACTATTTTTTTTAATAAACCACTTATAAACTACTTGGTCTTTCCTACGTACAAACTGCTATATTCTTGGGCAGTTCTGAAACCTCTCGAAGAGCACTTTGTTGTACACTGTTGTGCATGCGTAGCTATATGTGCTACTGCCTTGTGCTGTCTCACAACATTTTCGGTTATCTCAGCACTTGTTGATGATGGATATGTGATGAAGTAGGTTCCTATTTGAGCACAAAACCTGATTCAATCTTTTGGCCTCACTGCTGTTTATTTGTGATGTTTTGACACCCCTTATCAGCTCACTTTGTTGTGCAATGTTGTGCATGCCTTATTATATATGATATCTTTCTCACTTGTTTTGACTCTTGCATGATCTAAACACTTGTTCATACCTCTATTATTGTTTGGTTATACATCACTTTCATAAAGCAGCTTTCAGAACCCATCTCAACTCACTCTGTTGAAATTGCTGTGCATGCTAGACTACATGTGTTGTTGCCTTGTACTGTTTTGACTGTTATTTTTTTTTATAAACCACTTATAAACTACTTGGTCTTTGTTGCCTTGTGCTGTTTTGACTACTACATGTGCTACTGCCTTGTACTGTTTTGACACTTTCGTTTATCTAAGCACTTGTTCATACGTCTTGGTCTTATTTTTGGTTACACACTGCACTTAGGGACTACTTCCTCTTTTCTATGTACAAATTCAGTTATCAAATTGTGCATGCTGTTTTAACATGGTGTAGAATACGTTGTTGAAAATGTTGTGCTTGCTTATCCTAGCATGTGCTGATTCCCTCTGTTATTTTTGACGGTTTTGGCATTATTCACTACGCAGTTGCCTCTCTGCTGGAAACCTTTTGTTTATTAGCTGAATTTTTGTTATCTTTCAGTTGGTTAAACAATGAAGCTTTGTTGTGTTCTGGTTTTTCTGTTTTGCTCAGTCCCTATTTGTGCAGTGATGAATGTCATGTTTTCTGATATTCTAAACCAGTAAAAATTACATGCAATGATATGGCGAGGTCGTCCAAATTGTGGAATGCAACCAACATTGTCTTGCAAACTTGGTGATGAATATGTGATGAAGTTGACGTAGACCTGAGCACAATTGCTTAACAAACCTAGTGATGCTTCTCTGATGATATATATATGCAGAAGTTGACATTTACATGCCTGTTAAGTATTGGAATAGCCTTGTTTTACAAAGAGAACAGAAAAGTTAAATTGCATTATAACTTCTAACCAAAATGTTTACACAAAACATTTTCTTTATATTTTCAAGATGCAGATTATAATGTTTACAAGAACAAGGAAAATATTGAATAGCCCCAAAACTACAATACATTTTTTCAAATATTCAACTTGTTCAATTGCATGCTTCAATTCTCTTCGCAAATGCTTTGTTTCCAGCTCTTTTAATTTCGACACTGATTGAAGAGAAGGTTCTTCTTTTCTGGTTTCGCTATTTTTGATTTCTTTCTCATCTTCGGCCCACCTAAAGAATTTGCATGATCTATTTGGGTATTTGGCACAACCCCAAAAAAATTTGCCCTTGTTCGAACCCACTTTGCACAGCTTCAATGGTGTTGGTATATTGCATAAGTATTTTATCTTAGGAGATTTGTGCATACCTCTTTGGGCAGCAGCCATGGCTAAGCACTGTCAAAGAAGAAGGCCCTTGGGGCCATGGCTAAGCACTGTCAAAGAAGAAGGCCCTTGGGTAATTTAATTTTGAAGAAGGCACCAAAATGAAGAGGCTCTATGAATTGTTGGAGCTTTCTAGGGTAATTTAATTTTGAAGAAGGCACCAAAATGAAGAGGCTCTATGAATTGTTGGAGCTTTCTAGCTTTGCTGCAACTGTAAATTACTCATCCAAGTGGACACAATATATAGATGGTTTTTACTTGACCGTTGCCAGCTCTTTTCTTGTGTACGGTTTTTAAAAAATGACCGTTGGGCTTTGTTCCGTTGGGATTATTGCTGTGAACTACTTTGGAAGCGGTAAGCTCACCATGGTTTTGGCATTCAACTCTTCTTTTGTTGGGGTATTTGTGCATACCAAACATTAGAAATAGAAATGTAAATAGGGATGTGATTTCTTGTTTCTAAAGTAATGAAACAAACATGTGGAAACAAAGAAATACATTTCAAGGGGTTGATTTCACTGTGAAACAAACAAAATAAATAAAAACTGGGAAACACACTGGAAATGTCTTGAAATCATTTCATTTAAATAAATAAAAACTGGGAAACACACTGGAAATGTCTTGAAATCATTTCATTTCTTTATTTCTGTTTTCCTTTTTTTTAGAAATGTACCAAACAGGCCCTAAAGAACTTTTAACTCCGAATG